AAAGACAAAAAAATACACACAAAAAGAAATGAAAGGCTATGAGATCCAAATGTCTCACAAAAAAAAAAAAATCAAACACAAATGATGGCCATGTAAAAATGAAGGACAAAAAAGATTGGATTAGAAGAAATGATACCAAACAGTAACAAAATGGCAGAGTTCATTCTTCTCTGATAATTATTACCTTAAATAGAAATGTAGTAAACACTTCAATAGAAGTGATTAGAAAACAATATCCATCTATATATGCTGTCTATCAGAGACTCATGTTAAATCTGAATACACAAATCAGTTGAAAGTTAAAAGGCAAAGGGGGAAAAATATGCAGGTAAAAACACTAACCAAAAGAAAGCTGTAGTAGCTAAAATGATATCAGATAAAATAGACTTCCAAGTAAAAATCTATTATAAAAACATTATTATAAGAAGATTATTGTATACAATAATAAATATGAATATTTAACTAAAATATTAAATATTTAGTTAAAATTTTTAATTTTAATATTTTAATTATAAACATTGTAGTTTGTTGCTGTTATGTGCTGTCGAATCGTTTGCAACTCATATCGACCCTATGTACAACAGCGCTAAACCCAGCTCTATTCTGTGCCAATTGCACTGTCTCTGACACAACCATACCGATTACCCCAGTTACTGAATCAATCCACCTCATAGAGGGTCTTCCCCTCCTGCACTGTCCCTCCACCCTACCAAGCATGACGTCCCTCTCCAACGACCTATCCCTCCTTACAACATGTCCAAAGTATGTCAGACGAAGCCCCAGAAGCCTTGCTTCCAAGGAGTAGCCTGGTTTAACCCACTCCACAATGAATCTGTTTGTTTTCTTGGCAGTCCAGGGTACATTCAATACTCTTCTCCAGCACCACAGTTCAAAGGCATCAATTCTCCTTCTATCCTCCCTAGTCACTGTCCAACTCTCTGATGCACAACAAGTGATTGCAAAGACCATGGCCTGTATCAAGCACACCACCTTAGTCTCCAGAAAGACACCATTGCTGTGGTGGCCTAATGGCAAGAAGCTACAGTGCAATCCTGAAGTCTCATAGTTTGAATCCACCAGATGCTCCACTGGAGAATGAGGAGCAATCTCTTCCTGTGCCAGCCAGAACTGACTCAATGGTACACAATAAAACAAAAAAATTTAAACATAAAAAAATCTCATGGACACATAAGAAAACTAAAACATCTAACAAATAAAATTTGCAAGGATGTAGCGCACAAAGATGGAAAACTCAGTTACGTTTCAATACAACCGCAAAATGCAAACTGAAAAGGAAATTAAGAAAATTTCAAATACAACAGCTTCTTAAAAATATATAAAAATAAATTATTGATGAGGTGAAAGATTCCTCTTGGAATATATAATGTTACTTGTGCTTTGTTTTTATTATGCTTCATGAATACTGCTTTCCCCCGCCCCCTTAAATGTAAAGTCTGTAGCAACCCAGCAAACAGAAGCCTATCCGTGTCAGGTTTCCTATAGAAGTTGCTGATTTTGTCTTTATCTCATATTTTGAAATACAAAATATCAAACTTTATAACGCTACTTCACAATAAATACGTTATACAATAGAAATATAACTATCATAAGTACTGGGAAACCAAAAAAATTTGTGTGATTCCAATGACAATAATATTCAGTTTATGGTAGTGGTCTAGAATAAAGCGTGCACTGTCTCTGAGGTATACCTATACATTTTAAACTATTAAACATCTCTAAAAGAAACTTTTAAAAACCTTTAATAAATGGAAAAATAATCCTGCCTTCATTCATAGATCAGAAGACCTAATATAATAAAGTTGCAATTACTTTTGAAAGCTATCTATTCAACTAATGCAATTTCTTTTAAATTTTCAATGAATTCTTAGCTATGGTATCAAATCAAATAAAAAAATGACAAAAGAGAAAAATCTGACTCCAACAAAATGAAAACCTTTTATGGACAAGGTCAAGAGACAACCTAGAGAAAGGAATACAATATTTGAAACCCATGAATGCTATCATTAGCAAAATGTAAATCAAAACCACAATGAGATAATAACTTCCTAACTATGATGGTTATGATTTTTTTTTAAATACCCACAAACATGTGTTGGTGAGGATGTGGCAAAGCCGAAATTCACATTTATTACTTGTGGGATTGTGCAATGATATAGTATTGTGGAAAACAGTTTGGCAGTTCCTCAAACAATTAAGTACAGATTTACTATATAATCCAGCAACTCCACTTTTTTTGGAGGGGTTAGTAATTCCACTTCTAAATATTACTCTAAAGAACTGAAAGCAGAAACACAGAACAATGTTTAAAGTAGCACTATTACCTAAAGGCAAAATATAGACATGACCAAAATGTTCATCAATATATGGATACATAAAATATGGTATGTACACGCAATGAAGTTATTACTTAGCCATAAAGAGAAATGGAATTTCAATACATTCTACAACTTGGATAAACACTGTGAGAATAGTTAAGTCAGTCATTGTTGTTGTTACGTGCTGTTGAGTCACTTGGGACTCATAGCAACCCTATCTACAACAGCCCGAAACCCTACTCTATCCTGTGCCAACCTCATTGTCTCCAACATCCGTACTCCCATTACCCCAGTCACCCATCTCATCAAGGGTTTTCCTCTCTTGCGCTGTCCCTCCAACTTCCCAAATATGACATCCCTCTCCAAGGACCGGTCCCTCCTTGCAACATGCCCAAAATATGTCAGATGAAACCTCAGAATCCCTTTCTCTAAGGAGCAGCCCAGTTTCACCCTCTCCAGGGTGAACCTGTTTGTTCTCCTAGCACTGATGGTATATTCAACACTCCTCTCCAGCACCAAAGCTCAAAGGCATCAATTCTCTTTCTATAATCCCTACTCACTGTCCAGCTTTCTGATGCATAGCACACAACTGTGAAGACTATGGCCTGCATCAGGCGCACCTTAGACTCCAGCCTGACATCATTGCTCTTCAGTACTCTTGAGAGGTCCCTGACAGCTGACTTTCCCAATGCAATTCATTTCTTTATTTCCTGACTGCTGGTACCAAGTGTTGATTGGGGAACCAAGCAAACTGATGGTATCACTTGTATGAAACTTCATAAAATAAGCAAGTTTATACAGACTTAAGCTTATCAGAGGTTAGTACAGGTATTCAGAGAGAAGGATAAAGAAACCAAATGATTAGGAAGTACCAAGTTTCTGTAAATTAAGACAGAAAAGTTCAGAAACAGCTAACGGTGATGCATGCACAAACAATCCATCAACATCACTCTCAAAATCTGGCTGCTGTTGAGGTTTTGGCTCCTAACTGACCCTCCACTGGGTTACCAAGACTATAAATTACATGGAAGGAGATTGCCTAGCTTTCTCCCTCAGAGCCACTGATGGTGTTAATGTAATGGAGTTATGTAGATTTTGTTACATATATTTTTAATCACAATCATTTTTTTAAATCACTATATAAGATCAGGATGGATGGTGAAGAGATTGAGATTGTTCACAGCTTTAGTCTGCTTGGCTCCACAATCAACACTAATGGCACCAGCAGCCAGGAAATTAAAAGATGTACTGCCATGGAAAAGTCTGCTGTTAGGGACCTCTAAAGTACTCAAGAGCAACAGTGTGTCTCTGGAGACTAAGGTGCATCTGTACAGGCCATGGTCTTTGCAATCACTTGTTATGCGTCAGAGAGCTGGACAATGACCAGGGAGGATAGAAGGAGAATTGATGCTTTTGAGCTTTGGTGTTGGAGAAGAGTTCTGAGGGTGCCATGGACTGCTAAGAAAACAAACAGAGTCATCCTGGAGAGGGTTAAACCGGGTTGCTCCTTGGAGGAAAGGATTCTGAGGCTTCACCTGACATACTTTGGTCATGTTGTAAGGAGGGACCAGTCCTTGGAGAGGGACATTATGCTTGGGAGGATGGAGGGCAGGCAAAGGAGGGGAAGACCCTCTGGGAGATGGATTGATTCAGTGACTGGGGCAATCGGGATGAGTGTGTCCAAGACAGAGAGACTGGCACAGGACAGAGCAGAGTTTAGAGCTGTTGTACACAGGGTCGCTATGAGTCGCAAGCCATTCGACGGAACATAACAACAACAACAACATAGAAGATCCCACTTTACTTGGGATGAAAAACTGAAAACAAGGGTAAACAAGGATACAGAAAAACTAAAACTCTCCCTCACTGCTGGTGGAAATGTAAAATAATGTTACCACTGTGGAAATCAATTTCACAATCCCTCAAAAAGATAGACACAAAATTATCACATGACCAACAAGTAATTCAATTCGTCAGTATATACACCAAATGGATCACAGGTAATCACCGATACTTATACAGCAATATATATCACTGAAAAGAACATGATCAAATTAAACTAAAAAGCTTCAACCAAAAAAAAAGGGGGGGGGAAACAATGCATATTATTAAAATACTTAAAATTACGATCAGGAATATAAAGTATATGGCAAACAAGTAAAAGCACAACTTAAAAGAATTAACAAAATATATTTGCATTTATATTTTTTAAAATAACTCTGGATAGGCATATCTACACTCACTCAGAGCTATCTAGCCAATTTTAACTCATGGCAAAACTCCATGAAGTTTCTAAGGCTATAAAGTCTAATGAGGGCAAATGCTCTTTATTCCCATGGAGCAGGTAGGAGGTTCCAACTGTCAATTTTTTTATTTAGCAGACCAACTCATAACACCATCAGCCATCAGAGCTCCTTATTTATCTACAAAAATATAATTATACTAGGGAAAAGGGGAATGACTACAAAGACACAAATGGAACAAGTCCCCTGAGTAGGGTAGTAAGAACAGCAGCAAGAAGAGAAACATCAAATAGTACAGATAAAAGGTATTTCATATTTACCTGACATCATTTTGTGTTGTTTTTATTTCTACTGCCTGTATTTACTATACCACAGAAACCATTTTAACAAAAAAATTTTAAATAATCAAATGCATGCTTACCTTGGTATTTTGCTCCAAATCTTTGCTATTCAAAAGTGCATGATTAATTCGAAAAACTATCCAGTCGAACAGGGCACTATACAGAGATTTAGCCATAGAGTTTCTCACTGTCACAGCCTAAAAGTGTTGAGGGGGACAAAAAAGAAGACACAGTTAGGAACGTAAATGAAAATTACAATAATCTGTCTCAAATATTGTAACAAACTTTGTTTTGCTCTCATTCAGGAAAGCACACACACTAAATGAAATTACAAACTTATTTCTCTATTAATGACATAACAGAAAACTATCACGCAGGAGGAATGATTTTGTAAATCACTATCTAACTTGGGAGGAACTGGAGAGCATTAATTAGTGAGAGCTTAGTGAACGAAATTAGTCCCATAAACACAAATACATATTAGACCATTAATGTAGAATGTGTTTGAGGATCCAAGGGAGAGGGAGCAGAAGAGTGAGGATGGGTGGAGGAGGGGGATGATTAATCAAAGGGTTGCACTATTTGATGAGTTGAGGGTGAGGTGGGTAAAAGAAATAGGAAAGATTCAGTGTGGAAAACAACATATGTGAACTCTGTAAGTAAACCAGTATAAAATAAAAATTTCACCTTAAAAAAAAATAGTAGTTTTCCTTTTTATAGGTATGATTGTTGTTGATTGTCTTTAAGACGAGCACAACTCATAGTAACCCTATAAACAAAAGGTCTGAAGCCCTTCTACAACTACTGACATTTATCAAAGTTCATAGCTTTTCCAAAAGCATGTTATTTGGGAATTGGATGCCAATCCCCTTTCCAAATAGGTAGGTATGATTAGTATCCTATAAATAAAAGAGTTGCACCTTAAAGCAGATTTTCAAATCCTTTTTTAGTCAATGAATGCAACAACAATCATCTTCAATTTGTTATTCTAAGCAGAGTAAATCATATGACTGACTGTTTAAAAATTGTCAACACTAGTCCACCTCAGCACAATAAAGTCTAGGATGTAGATTTTTCTGGTTTTCCTTTTTTTTTTTTGTTTTGTTTTGTTTTTTAGGATGTAGATTTTTCTATGTTCTATTTCATTTTTTTACAACTTCCAATTTTTCTAGATTCATATTTTCTAAATTGCACATTCCTGTATTATTGGAATGTTTGCAGCTATTTATTGTGAATTTTGTCCTTCATTGGTTGAAAGCTTTACTCCCATCCTTGTCATTAATCAATAATCATGCTAAGAGAAGTGGAAGGTCAGAAAAGAAGATTCTCAACATGATGTATTGATACGCTGGATGCAGCAATAGGATTGAGAGCATTTTGGATTGCGGGGATGGTGTAGAGTAAGAGGGAAAGCGTTAGATCTGTTGTTCACAGAATTGCCATGAGTCATAGAGAGAGCTCTGTTGTCCTAGTAGATAGAAAGTTATGCTACCAAAACAAAGGTGGGTGATTTCAACCCGCAGCCCTCAGGCCTCATTTTAATTGCTTTTGGTCAAACATTCTTCTAAGTGGTATAGAACTGGTCTATCCATTTGCTGTACAAAGGTAACTCATGGTTGTTGTGATGTTAAACACTGTGACACTGATGTGTCCAATGTGATAATGGTTATCCATGGTGAACAGTGTTTACTGGAGTTCCCAGATTAAAACAGTCTTGAAAGCAGGAATGGCAACCATTTCCGAAATAGCTTGCCTCTGAAAACTCTGACCTTAAAGAAATGATGGAAGTTATACAGTTGTTCAGGCCTTTCATTAATAGGGTCTCTATGAGTCATCTACAACTTGAAGGCACTTGACAACAACAACCTGTCATTAAGGTATACTCGAGTTCGAGGAAGTAGTTTCTTCTCAGTGACATTTTGAGTACTTTCCAACCTGAGGAGATCATCTTTAGCTTTTAAATTAAACAATGATTTTCTGTAATTCACAGGGTTTTCACAGCCATTCAGAAGTAGACCGCCAGTATACAAATCTAGATACTGGCTGTCTATATTTTAAAATAAACTCTCCTAATGATTCTTGAACACCAATGAGAGAAGACCAGATGAGTTGTGGGAGGATATCCAGGAAGATTTAAAAAGGTCATTACAAAGGCAGAGGAGGAAGAAAAGACCAAAACAGATATCAGAAGAGACTCTGAATATTGCACTGTAGTGCCAAGAAGCAAAAGCAGAAGGAAGAATTCAAGATACAAAAGAGCTGAATAGAAGATTTCAAAAAGCAGCGTGGGAAAACAAAATATTACAATGCAAAGAAGCTGGAGTCAGAAAATCAAAAGATGGACTTGCTCAACATTTCTTAAGCTCAAGGAACTAAAAAACAAATTCAAACCATAAGTTGCTATAATTAAGGATGCTTTAGGCAGAATATTAAATGATCCAGGAAGTATTAAAAGAAGATGGAAAAGAGTATATAGAGTCACAGTATTGAAAGGAATTGGCAGACACAGAAGAATTTCATGAAACAACGTATGAGCAACAGCCTATGGTGATGAAGGAAGAAGTTCAGGCTGCTCTGAAGGAACTAGCAAAAAATAAAGCCCCAGGAATAGATGGTATGCCAACTGACGTATTTCAGCTAACAGATGCTGCCCTGGATGTGCTCGCCAAGTTGTGCCAAGAAATCTGGAGAGCAACCATTTGGCCAACTGACTGGAAGAGATCTGTATTTGTTCCCATTCCAAAGAAAGGTGACCCAAAAGAGTTTGGAAATTATAGAACAATATCACTGGTATCACATGCAAGCAAGATTCTGCTGAAGATTATCCAAAAACGACTGAACAGCACATCAGCAGAGAACTGCCTGAAGTGCAGTCTGGGTTTAGAAGGGGTCATGGTACTATTGTAGCAAATGTTAGATGGATCTTAGCTGAAAGCAGGGAATACCACTGGAATGTCTGTGTTTCACTGATTATGCAAAGGCATTTGACTGTGTGGATCATAACAAACTGTGGCTGACTCTGAGAAGAATGAGAATCCCAGAACATTTGATTGTGCTAATGTGAAACCTATATACTTGGAACAAGAAGAGAGCAAGGAAGCACTGCCTGGTTCAAAATTGGGAAGGGGGTACTCCAGGGATGTGTCCTATCTCCATACCTTTTCATCCTATATTCAGAATAGATTATCCAGGAGGTTGGGCTTTATGAGAAGTGTGGCATCAGGATTGGTGGAAGAGCCATCAACAATCTGAGTTACGCAGATGACACAACACTGCTTGCTGAAACTGAGGAGGACCTGAAACACTTGCTGCAGAGGGTGAAGGATTGCAGCCTTCAATATGGATTAGGGCTCAATATCAAGAAGATAAAGTTTCTCACTAGTGGGCCAACTGGCAGCATCAGGATGGATGTGAAGAGATTGAGACTGTTCACAGCTTTAGTTTGCTTGGCTCCACAGTCAACACTTTTGGCACCAGCAGCCAGGAAATTAAAAGATGTATTGCAATGGGAAAGTCTGCTGTTAGGGACCTCTCCAGGATACTGAAGAGCAATACTGTCACTCTAGGAAGAGTGTATCAGGAGACTAAGGTGTGCCTGATACAGGCCATGGTCTTTTTGCAATCACTTGTTATGCGCCAGAGAGTTGGACAACGACTAGGGAGGATAGAAGGAGAATTGTTTCCTTTGAGCTGTGGTGCTGGAAAAGAGTACTGAATGCATCATGGACGGCTAAGAAAATGAAAAGGTTCACCCTGGAGAGGGTAAAACCAAGCTGCTCCTTGGAGGTAAGGATTCTGAGGCTTCGTCTGACATACTTTGGAAATGTTGCAAGGAGGGACCGGTTCTTGGAGAGGGACTTCATGCTTGGGAAGGTGGAGGGACAGTGCAGAAGGGGAAGACCCTCTATGAGGTGGACTGATTCAGTGGCTAGGATAATTGGAGTGGGTGTGTTGGAGAGAGTGAGACTGGCACAGGACAGAGCAGGGTTTAGGGCTGTTGTACATAGGATCGCTATGAGTCGCAAGCAACTCGACAGCACATAACAACAAACAACAATGATTCTAATGTACACTAAAGTTTGAGAATCACTGTTCCAAAAGTAATCATGCACAAGTTTATAATGTGATATAAATGTCATTTTTGTGGTGGCAGTTTAGAGGAGAGCAACTTAAATGTCCATTCTTAGGCAATAAACTGAAATAATGCAGACATTCAAAGTAATCCTATGCAGCAGTCAGCAAAAACAAAAATCTTTGCACAAAGCATCATGAATACATCTACTTTGTTGTCATTTATGTATTAGTAAAGATTGGATAAAGTGGTATGGCGGCTTAGTGGTAAGGAGCTGTGTTGTCAGCTCAAAGGCATGCAGTTTAAATCTACCACTTGTACTGCCGGAGAAAAATGAATAATCCCTTCCTGTGTGATTTATTTTCTTTGAAAAGCATTTGGAGGGTCAGCTATGAGTTGGTACCAACTTCCGAATACAAAACAACAAAGGTTTTGAAATCTTGTTGATGCTTATGAATTAATAAACATTACTTGTGTATATTACAAAAACATACCAAAAATTCAAATCTTTTCATATACAGGAACCTTAGCCAAGAATGTATACAGAATACATCACAGTGGATGCTTGGGAGGAATATGTTGTTGTTGTTGTTGTTGTCATGTACTATACAGTTGGAACCAAGTAATAGCAGACCCTCCAGCAGGTTTTCAGAGGCAGTTAGTCATGCAGATTTCCCATCTTTATCCCATAGAGCATCTGGTGGCCTCAAACTGCATGCCTTCAGGACTGCAGCACAGCTCCTTGCCATTAGGACATTAAGAACACCCTTATAAGGAATACACTTTGCAATACTTGCTAAGCCTCAGAAAGCCGGACAATGACTAAGGATGACAGAAGAAGAATTGATGTCTTTGAGTTGTGGTGTGGGAGAAGACTCTTGAACACACCAGGGACCACCAAGAAAACAAGTCTGTCTTGGAGAGAATGATACCAAGTTTCTCCTTGGAAGCTAAGATACTTCGGGCATGTCCTTAGAGAAGGATATCATGCCTGAAAGGGTGCAGGGGCAGCACAGGAGAGGAAGACCCCAGATAAGATGGATTGATACAGTAAGTGGGACAACTGGGGATTGCTGTGTCAGAGTCAGTGAAACGGGCTCAGGATAGGGCAGGTTCAAAACTGTT